AGAGCATGATGATGGAACATTGACGTGCAAAACTGAAAAATAAAAATAAAAATAAGCTGATAATGTTCTCAGTTTTAAAATTGAAAAAAAAAAACTTTTAATATTCTTGGTTTTATTGGATAATTAAATTGAACCAATAAGTATAAGGGCAAAAACGTTTAATCTCATATTCTGTTTTTTTATCACTTAGTGAAACAATTATATAGAACATTATTACACAAAATTGATAATGTTCTTAGTTCTAAAAATTGAGAAAAATTGATAATATTCTTAGTTTTAGCACGCAAACCGAGGCAATGGCGGGATGTGATGAAATGACATGGAAATGACAAATGGGCTTATACCAACATGAGTGAGCCTCAGCCACATTTACGTAGGATGCCGGCGGATAAAAAAGGAGTGCCTCGAAATGCGTGCACACAGGCACGCAAACCGAGGCGATGGTGGAATGTGACGAAATGACATGGAAATGAAAAATGGGCTTATACCAACATGAGTGAGCCTCAGCCACACTCACGTAGGATGCCGGCGGATAAAAATGGAGTGCCTCAAAATGCGCGCACACGGGCACGCAAACCGAGGCGATGGCGGAATGTGTTGAAATGACATGGAAATGAAAAATGGGCTTATACCAACATGAGTGAGCCTCAGCCACACTCACATGGGATGCCGATGGCAGAAAATGAAGTGCCTCGAAATGCGTGCACACTGGCACGCAAACCGAGACGATGCTAAAACGATGCGAATGACATGAAAACATGATATGGACTTATACTAACATGAGTGAGCCTCAGCCGCACTCACATAAGATGCCGATGGCAGAAAATGAAGTGCCTCGAAATGCGTGCACAATGGCACGTAAACCGAGGCGATGCTAAAATGTGATGAAATATGGCAAAAATGATATGCAAGCATAATGACAAATGGGCTTATACTAACATGAGTGAGCCTCACCCGCACTCACATAAGATGTCGATGGCAGAAAATGAAGTGCCTCGAAATGCGTGCACACTGGCACGCAAACCGAGGCAATGCATAAGCAATGCAAATGACATGAAAAATGAAGTATGGACTTATACTAACATGAGAGAGCCTCAGCCGCACTCACATAAGATGCCGATGGCAGAAAATGAAGTGCCTCGAAATGCGTGCACACTGGCACGCAAACCGAGGCAATGCATAGGTATGGCAAAAATGGCATGCAAGATAGGGGCCAAAAGAGGGGTAATGAAGTAAGTGATATAAGCAAAACCAAAACTGAAAATTTTCCTTCTACAACACTAAAGAGGGACCAAAAATATGAATATTTACAGTATATGGCAGCCTCGAAATCAGTATACAAACATGCTAAAAAATGAGCACAAGATTGGGGCTCAAAAGGTGCTATAACATGAAGTATACAAAATAATCACCAAACAGCCAAAGACCCTTAATAAAACATGTAGAATGGACCAAAATAAGAACTTTTATAGAACTGTAAAATGGCCAAAAACAAAAGCATGATAGGCTAACTAAACATGCAAGAATGGGGAATACAAGAGGGATATAACATGAAGTGACCTATGGAGGTCCCAAACCATGAAAGGACCTAAATGAAACATGAATAATGGACCAAAGTAAGAACTTTTTCAGAACTGTAAAATGGCCAAAAACAAAAGTATGGTAGGCTGCCATTGCATGCAAGAATGGGGAAGAAAAGAGGAGTATAAAGGTAAGTACAACATGGAAGTCCCAAATGGTGTTGAGCCCTTCTTCAATGTTGAAGAGGGGCTCAAAATAAGCCTAATATCAGTTTACAACATGCTCAAAAACAGATTACTCATGGGCCAAAAACAGCATGCAAGATTATGACATATAAGAGGATCAATGAAGCAAGTGTATCATGGAAGGCTCAAACAGGGTTGAGCCCTTAATGAAAAGTGAAGATGAGCTCAAAAGAGGGCCCTTTTCAGTTAGGGCCGGAGCTTGAAACAAAACGCAAGTGAGGCTTACAAATAGATCAAGAAAAAGGGTCAAAAGAGGAGCAGAGCTACACACCCTTGAAGACTAAAACTTTTGTTGCTTCTTGGACCAATTTGCAGCTCCTTTAGCCTTTGAGAAGCCTTCCTTGTTGCTGGAAATGAGGTGGTGGTGGTAGAGCTTGGTGGTGTAGAAGAAATGGTGATTAGGGGGTTAGAAGTTTTTAAGGAAATGAGAGGTATAGAGATGGCTTTGTGTATGGATGCTTGAAGACCAAATTTTCTAACCCCAACAAATGATCTAGCTTGCTTGTTATAAGGGCCAAAGAGGGGGTGTAAAGGTGGGGGAAAAGGAGAGCAACTTTCCCCCACAAAATATCCCCCGGATAAAGATCCTTTCTGGGGGATAAAGCTCCACAGCTGTAAAGTGCACAGTGCAAGGAGCTCGGCCGGCCTGTTACTTTTGCTCCAGGTGGCCGGCCGGCCACACCCCCTAGCCGGCCGGCTAGGGGTCAAAAGGGTCAATCAGCTTTTCTGGCCGGCCACCAATTGATGGTGTTCTCCTATGTGTGTACAACACAACCCTGTAGTTAGAATTCCAAGAAAGTGGGTCCAAGGGGTTCAACATTAGCCCGGAAGGAGGGGGTCAAAAGGGTCAAGTTGAATTAATGGCCGGCCATCAACTTTTAGGGTCCTCTCATGTGTGTACATCACAAATATGTGGTTTAAAGTTCGAGAAAATGGGTCCAAGGGGTTCAACATTAGCTCGGAAGGAGGGGGTCAAAAGGGTCAAGTTGAATTAATGGCCGGCCATGAACTTTTAGGGTCCTCTCATGTGTGTACATCACAAATATGTGGTTCAAAGTTCAAGAATGTGGGCCCAAGGTGTTCAACATTAGCCCGGAAGTGCGAAAAACGGGCGCCGGAGGGCGTCGGAGGATGTATAACTGGTTGCTGCAACAATTGCTGGCCTCCCACCCTTCAGTGACCTCCCCGGTGATAAAACAGAGGTACCTGCTAAAAATGTACGAAAACCGTTGCAAAACGAATGCTCGGGGACCAAAACGCGCAGTTCGGGGTCCCGAAAATGAGCTGTTAAGCACCGAAAGTGGCATTCGGCCACGAAGTGGGCTTCTCAGCTCCCAGTGTCCCTCAAAAGGGAGCAAATAGGAAGTATGTCAAAAATTAGAGCAATAGGAGATGGTTAAGCGTAGGGCTGAGCAAGTGATCCGTGAAATCCGTAATCCGATCCAGTCCAGTCCAATCCGATAGGTTTGGATTGGTTTTTTGAATCCGCGGTTCGGTTCCGGATTGAAGAATTAAAAATCCGTAGTCTACGGATTGGTTCCGGATTAAATCCCACGGTTCCGGATTGGAACCGATCCGAACCGTATACAAATAGTCTATATTTTTATTATACATCCTCCCCCATAGTATCTTCTCTTAATTCTATATAAAATCTAAACTTAAACTTAAAACCGTATAATATTTTCTTTTATTACTCTTGTTTGTTGGTTTTTAGTTTTAATTTATAATGGTTTAAATACTTATAGTGAAACCAAATTTTCTTATGGTTGTTTAAATTTTATAACAGTATGTCGCTATTATAGAAAAATATGTTGCTATTGTGGAACTAATATAGCGCTATGTTTATATTTTTATAAAATTAAAGTGTTATAAATATATTTTTGTTATTTAATTATGTGAATCCGTGGTCCTAAACCGATCCAATCCGTATTTAAATGGATTGGTTCGGAGCAAGTATTCGCAAATAGATGCAACAGTTTTAAGCAAGAATGCAAAGCAACAACTACATTTCATGCAGTTAAAAATGCGGAGGATTATTCAATCCCCGCCACGTTTCACACGGAGAAGATACGATACCTGCGCGATTCGTCTGGTCGCGCCAGCCTCAATTGAACCGTACATACAATATCGTGCCTGCAAAAGAGAGAAATAGCAACAAGCACAATATGCTAACAACATGTATTTAATGTGATTCCGAAAGTTCGACACACGCAGTGCCGGTGAGTGAATGCACCGCAATGCAAGAATGGAATATGTGTGACAACGTATGCTCAAACACAGAAGTATGATTAACATCAAGAAACGTGCATGACAATGTGAGCATGCTCATGAGAATGCAAGATAACGTAACACGAGCAAGAATCAGGGCGTCCGTTTGTCATGAAACAACGAGTACAGAAATGCGCGTTTTGGCGAAGACGACTCGACCACGGCCTCCGATCCGCTTCCTTGAAAGGTTACAACTCATTCAAAAAGGATATACTTTGATTTCGATGAATGATGATGAGCCACATGTCAAAACTTGAAGCCGAAGTCCCGACGGAGTAATTTCGCGACCGGAAGTGTACTTTTCTTGAACTTTTTCAGGTCCCGGGAACTCCGATCTTCCTCAAAATTTGCAGAGAGCTAGGTGAACATGTGAGGATGATGGCCGGCCGTTTATCTTCCCAAGGGGAGGTGGCCAACCGGTTTCCACAAAAGTAGATGGCTGGCCGGCCATTTCTGCCAAAAGCAGATGGCTGGCCAGCTAGAAATAGGGGCCGGCCGGCCATGCCCTTTTTCGGGGGGTATTTTGGTCTTTTTCCCTCCTTTTTGGTGCTCTTGCAATCCAAGGCTTGAGGCCTATAAATGGCAGCCGAACCTCACTTCATTTCTTGCCTCTTTCAACACTTTTCTCTCCAACCAAGGTTTGAGGCCTATAAATGGCAGCCGAGCCCCCTTCATTTTCTTGCCTTCTACAACATTTTCCTCTCCAGTTTTGAGTTTCACGCGCGTTTTCCAACGCCCCGCGCAAATTGTTTTCGCAAAAACACTCAGTTTCAAGCACTTTGAAGCGATTAAATTCCGGCTTCGGAGCTTCTTTTTGCATTTTCATCACTTGAGGTAAGTTTGTCTCAATTTTTGGAATATTTTCTCGGGGGTTGACTTTTGTTGACTTTTCATCTCCCGAGAGTTGACTTTTGTTGACTTTTTCCAATTTTGACCCATTTTGCTCATTTTTGCTCCTTTTTGCAGATTCTTTGGAAATGGCGGGCAATTCTCCTCACGACGGAGGTTTTCCAGGTGCCGGCGATGATTTCGATCCCATGACTCTACCTCCGAGGACCCGGCCTTTCATTCCCGGGAGGTACCGTCCGCCAGCACACGTCCTTCCGCGTGCTGTCTTCCGTCATTTTACCAGTTTTGACGAGGGAGCACCCGGGGATCTGCTTCTCAGAGAGCCGGAGCAGCATCTCTCTCACGAGGCCCGAGAGGTATTTACCCTATCTTCTGCATTTTACATTTCGCACCCTTGCCATGCTCGAACATGCAGTTCAGCTTATGACATAGTACTTTGCTCACATCTTGAACATGTAATTTCAACATTCAAATTTCTGAACACTCGGCTCATTAATTAGTTGCGAACACACAGCCCACATTAGAACACACGGCTCAAACATTGATTTGTCGAACATACAGCCCGGATTTGAAAGTGAACACACAGCCCACACTTCAAATTTTCTGAACACGCAGCCCAGATTAGATAGTGAACACGCAGCCCACACTAGTTGAAATTTGAACACGCAGCTCAAACTTCAAATTTTCTGAACACGTAGCCCAGATAGATAGTGAACACGCAGCCCACAATTTAAATTTTCTGAACACGCAGCCCAGGTAGATAGTGAACACGCAGCCCACAATTTAACTGAAAGTTGAACACGCAGCCCAAATTTCAAATTTTCTGAACACACAGCCCAAGTAGACAGTGAACACGCAGCCCACAATTTAACTGAATTTTGAACACGCAGCCCAAACTTCAAATTTTCTGAACACGCAGCCCACAATTTTAACTGAAAGTTGAACACGCAGCCCAAACTTCAAATTTTCTGAACACGCAGCCCAGATAGATAGTGAACACGCAGCCCACAAGTTTAACTGAATTTTGAACACGCAGCCCAAACTTCAAATTTTCTGAACACGCAGCCCAAGTAGATAGTGAACACGCAGCCCACAACTTAACTGAATTTTGAACACGCAGCCCAAACTTCAAATTTTCTGAACACGCAGCCCAGATAGATAGTGAACACGCAGCCCACAAGTTTAACTGAATTTTGAACACGCAGCCCAAATTTCAAATTTTCTGAACACGCAGCCCAGGTAGATTTGCAGGTAGCTTATTTCACTTCATCGGTATACAGCCCACTTTATCTCATTGGCACACAGCCCATTTCATTTCATTGGCACACAGTCCATTTCATTTCGTTGGCACACAGCCCATTTCATTTCATTGGCACACAGCCCATTTCATTTTATTATTGACACATGTATTCATTCTGAATGCAGGTTTGCTCCCGCAGTGTGCGGGGATATGGCTCCACCATGGCGCGGGATTGGTATGCCGAGCTCCCGGAGGGTGTTCGAGACTTAGTGCACTTGGCAGGGTTCGGGCCCTTCTGCGTCGGGTTGTCGCGTTGTCCTGCCAGGAGGACATTGATGGCAGCTTTGGTAGAGAGATGGTGGGACACCACCAATTCCTTTCATTTCTCTGCTACCGGGGATATGACCATGACCCCTTTTGACTTCGCTGTATTGACTGGTTTAGACGTCGGAGGTTGGTCCATCCCTTACGATGAGGATATGGGCGAGTGGGAGGCCGCCTGGATGTATCTATTGGGGGCTCACCCACCTGTTGACAGGGTCTCTGGGAGAGTCCGATACACTTGGTTCTCTTCCCATTTTCGGCGGGCGGAGATAGTGCCCGAGACTCCCGAGGAGACGGAGCAGTATGCCCGTGGTTTCTTGATGTTCCTCTTCGGGATTACCCTGTTCGCCGACAGAGGGAACACCATTGGGCTATACCTGCTGAGCGCTCTGGTTGACCTATCGCAGGTCAGTAGATATGATTGGGGTGGCGCCGGCCTGGCTACCCTTTACTTTTATATGAGCGCGACCTCCCGCGGGCGGGGCGATTTGCTTGGCGGCTATTGAAGAGCCTGGGAGGTACTTTCTGTCCCCTTGATTTACATTTCTGCTTCTCATTACTTGTACATTGCACACACAGCGCACTTTTACAGTCTGTATTTTGCTCTCAGCATTTCGTACTTACATTCTGCATTGCTTTTCTCAGTTATGGGTCTATGTATACTTCCCATCATTAGCCCCAGAGCTGGAGGTGGTAGGGATTCCCGTGACCCCATATTCATTGATATTCGAGGGCCCACACAGGCCGAGACCTCGAGAGACCCTCCTTCGCCTGCGACAGTATTTCGACACTGTGCGACATTCAGAGGTACCTCAGAACTTTCAGCTCTTTTCATTTTCATCTTTGATTTGCTCTGTATATTCTCGATTTCTGATTGGTTTATGCATTCATCATCCGCAGATTACATGGCAGCCCTGGGTGTCCCTGGGTGATGGTCTCCGACTTCAGTATACCGGAGCATCGGACATCTCCCAGTATAGGGTCCTGCTCGAAGGGCCGGTTGGCAGGGTATGGTTCCTGGGGGAGCGCTTTCTGCGTCAGGTATGGGGGTATCTTTCTCAGGATATTCCCGCAGTACCCCCAGCCAGTATGCGGACCGCTGACAGACTCTCTTATTCGGAGGTAGTCGGCGCCATGCTGGGTAGTGATGCTTTGCTATATATTGAGGAGGGGGACTACGCCACTTACCGTCACATATATTTGATGCCTCCATTGACGGAAGCTCGTATCCCGATGATGAGGCCTACCGGTATGTCATCCTCGGACCAGGCTCGGGCTCGGGCTGCAGACGCCCCTTCTACTAGCAGGGCCGGTACATCTAGAGGTGGGAGTAGACCGGTTCCTCCGGCTCCGTCGATTCATCCTCATCCCGGATGGCCAGATATGCCTACTGAGTTGATGGCGTGGCAGTATGGGGCTAGCTTTCCGACTCCGATTCCACTAGAGCCTCCGATGCCCAGTGATCGATACACCATTGATCCGGACTCACCGCCGGTACGTGCTCCACTTCTTTTTCATTCATCATTCAGATGTTTAGACACTTCTTCTTCACTGATGATTATGAGCTCATTTTTTGCAGCCACGCGAGGGTACATGGAGGAGGTTGGTTGGACTGGTGGCCACCTCGAGGGCATGGTTCCTGCGTAGGGAGGCACAGTTGCTGTCGCGGGCATCCAGGTTACCCTTCAGTTTTCTGGCATTTATCATACTTCTTTATGGACATGCTGATTTTCTACTGCATCGATTAGACGTATTTGTGTAGAGCACATCTGACACACACCCCACTTGTACACTGTATTAACATGCACCCACTTACGTATCCTTTGCTTGTCTGCAATCTGAGGTAATATATTTTGGACTGATGTATTTGAATTGAACTCTTTGTTTTCAGATGCCCTTCATTGGTGTCCGGTCAGCCGCAGACAGGCCACCTGGGCCTCATTGGGGAGCTGGGCCATCTGGGCCTTTCAGGGGGGCGGGGCCATCTCGGCCTTCCCAGGATCCGGCCATCTAGGCCTTATTCGGGAGCTCGAGGAAGGGCCTGTCCGCAGCGCAGGGACTCACGTTGTTAGAGTTTGGAGCCTGATGCAGGAGGAGGAGGGATGCTGAGGAGGGAGGAGGAGGCTACCGACCGTCAGTCAGAGACATATCTGCTGAGAGGGGGCTCCGGTTGGCTCGGGGAATAGAGGCAGGCTGAGGGAATCCTGTAGGGGCTCGACACTTCTGACTCAGATTGATCGGATGATTGGTGCGGGAGATTTCCCGCAGGAAGAATGATGAGGAGTGCGTCTCGTTCCTAGATACCTCGTACATTTATTTTTGTTCGCTTTACAGCTTCGCCCGAAGGACTTTTGATTGTTAGCCTTATTTCCATGCTTCTATTTTTCTTTTTGCTGAGTTGAGTTGTTGTAGCACTTTGCACATTGTTTACAGGCAGTTTTATGTTTTTGTAAAACTTCTCGTTGACCTTTGGTTA